GAGCCCATAGGGAGACTCTCTAGTCCCCTACCGGAAGCGGCGCTTGTCGGGGATGCCAGTGTATCCAAAGCAGCATCTAGCGTAGTGGTAGGAGTACCAGCTGAACACCTAGAAGTACCCGGTTCAATTCCTGGCTGTGCCTCCATTACAATAGGTTTGCTAGTGGTAAGTTGAATAGAATGTTCAACCAGATTAGCACGACCAAGAGTATTTCCTTCCCACAGATCCTTGAAACTTACCAAGATATTCAATTTTTAGTGGAAGGAAAGTACATTTGGATAAGCGTAATATAAGGCCAGCAGATCGTAAACGACAAAATACTTCTGTAAGCAATTCCATTTCGCGTTGGGCGCATGAATTAGAATATCGTCTGGGTAAACTAGAGCTCCTTCCCAGAACAGATCTCCAAAAATTTGACTTACCAATCTTTGAACTTACCAAACGGCATAACCAAGAACTCGTAAAGTCCTGTAGGAGTGCGAAAGACAGTCTTATGTATGTCTTTAGGCTTCATCATTACTTGCCAGTAGCCGGCTCTTAAATCCAAAGCTATAAAGCAACGTGAACCTTTTACAGTTCACTAATACGACACCTGACGCATAGGCACTTCTACTTTCACGAATTACTCCTTTCTGGATCATTTCTTGGAGTTGAGTTTCAGTGATTATTTTCTGTTCTTCTGCATAACGACGGCATCGGCTCGTTATAGGTTTGCTAGTGGTAAATTGAATAGAATGTTCGGCTAGATTAGTACGACCAAGAGTATTTCCTTCCCACAGATCCTTGAAACTTAATAATATCTTAATAAGTTGTTTCTTGACGTCTTCGGGGCAACACATTGCTTTAAAATTGATTTCAAATCATCCTTATCTTCTGAAATTAAACTTATAACCCCCAAGGCATGCTGATGCACAAGGTTCGATTTATTGAGCTTGCACCACTTCTTATTAAGCTGGATCCAGGCTTCATGACAATATGAGGCAAGAGGAAGCCAGAAATTTACCAGTGGATCCAATCATTAGAAGAAAAAGAAAAATAAATCTTCCTAGATGCGGAAAATGCGGTATGGTTGCTACTTCTACACATCAATGTTGGAGTAAAGAGAAAAAGGTAGTACGCTTTGAAAAGGACAGCCTAATCACGTAGCGATTTACTGTAAGAATCAACCAGGTGTGACTGGTAAAAATCAAAGATTTACTCCTTAATAATTTGGGGGGTAGTGCAGGAAGAAACTCCCCTTTTGTAGAAGAGCCGGCGCCAGTGAATCCCTGACGTCGGCGTCACTCACGTTACCGGTTGAGTGTAACCAAAGGAAGACATGACATATGCACTGATAGATACTGGAGCTGAAGTAAATACTTTGTGTCAGGAATTAGTCCCACGATTACTTCGGGATGTCAACTCAAGAGAACGTTGGCAGTCAGGTAGTAAATCAATATTGGGGAGAATTAGATATTCGTTTACAAGATAAGGAAATTTATACGGTGACCGGAGTCGTTTTACCCGAAGTTCACCAGCTTATATTAGGACTTCCTTATCTCATTGGCCATAATGCCCGATTGCATATGGATGAATACCAAGGATTTG